ACGTATATATATAATATTGTCTTTATAAGTTTTTCTGCCTTTTTTCCTATATATTTATCCTTTAACCCGCTGTCAGTTACAAAGTCATGTGAAAAAAACCGTTGCTTAAAAAAAAAACAAAAATGTCAATTAGAGAAAACACTATATTTTCGTTGAGCTTATGTGTATGTGTTTGTTTGTGTAAAACTTAATTTGAAATCATTGAATTTATATCATTTATATCATTTTTTTAATTCTTTTTTATAAATACAAACCAAATTAAACATTTACAACAAGAGGAAGTCATGCGAACAAGACCCAAACCATCAAATATAAACAAAATACAAGCGAGAATATAAAATATATAAAAGTTTATGAACAAAATATAGAAAAAATGTCAAAGACGTGTCAAATTAATCAATTTAATAAAAATCTTAAAAAAATTATAATATACATATATGTGTATATATATATACATATATATCACATTCAACTGTTCTGAATATATAAAATAGAACAATTTAAACACTAATGTGACATTTGTATAATTCGAAAAAAATAAAACATAGAAGTTACAAATAGTACGTAGAAAAAATATCAAATCGCTACCGAGCGCATACAATAGGAACGACTCGCTTTAATTAAGTAGGTATGTAAAATGCAGTGAGAATCACTTATTGCGGATTGCAGACTACGTATATGTATATATGACGAGGAACGCGCGAGAACAGTTTGCGTTAGTAAAGAAAAAAATAATCGCGACAATAATTCTATGTGCTTGTATCGGATGTAAGAAAGAGATCCGGTCGAGTATCATTCACTGCTTGCACGCAATCAATTATAGAGTGTACTATCTCATATTTATATAATCCGTATAATATTATATAAAAATATATTTCTTAATCAATAACATTATAATAAATGAGTATTATCAGCACATATTTTCTCATATCTTGTTTCGTTTTTTTTTTTTCGTAAATAATGGTAGTAGTACACGATGCCTGTCGCGGATAACCGGAGCTTCTACATGTACGAAACGTCGAGAAAGTACAACCGTAACGTGTATTAACCGGTAATTCGCCTTACGTTCGCGCTCACACACACACACACACACACACAGTCACCAAATTTTTTTCATAATACAATAATATCTTTACCTTATCTTTTTTTTATCAATAACAATATCACTTATTATTTGTGGTACGTGTAAATAAAAAGACGCATAAACTGTTATAAAATACATTCTCGAGTATTATCAATCTGTGTAGAGTATATATATATATTTATATATACGTTCTTATCTACGCGCCCGAATGAATAAAATCATATAAACGTCGTAATCATTTTAATATACAATATTGGAAGCATTTAATATCATACTTAAATGGTAAATATTACATCTATATTCGGGCCTCGGATTTCGGTGAAAAGAATCATCGCGAGGGTTTCTGGTGTGCATTTCGTGCCTCTCATCGCACCTTTCCGCGGAATATACACATGAACGTGCAAAAATAAAACGCAGAGAATCTAATTATTAAAGATCCGAAACATTTGAAAGATCTAAAGAATGAAACAATAATATATCGATCAATATAATTATTAATGTTTCAAAGTTTCTTTAATCTTTACTACGTTTTTTTTGGACGTTAATGTGTGTTATTTCCTTATTAAAACCATCGACTTACACTCTGCCATAAAAAATACGCACTTTAAGAAGTTGGCGAAAACAAAGTCAAAGTTTTGGCAAAAGGTGCACGCAACGCTGTTTGTTGCAAGAGGAAAAAGTGATAAATAAAATGAGGCCCTGAAAAACGGATCCTCGCGGAATGTGTAGCGCATTTTATGACGTATACCACATATTAGCATCGTCTCTCGAACGTTAGACATGTTATATCATAGGAATAACGCGTTAACATGCCACCTTGTAAGTACAATAGTAAAAAAAAAATTTCTCGCATGGACATCGATCACCGACCCGCATGGCCCTTAAAAATCCCACATTCTCCCTCCTTCTGTTCTTGTCTTCTTTTTTTCATTCACACCTTTCTACATAATCGCTTGCTTTTCTTTTCTTCTCTTTCTCTCTCTCTCTCTCTCTCCTTTTTATATAGTTAGATAATAATATAGAATTGTAATAATAATATATGACTTTTTTTATCAAGTATATAATTTATTCATTGTAAGGAGGCGGAACATGAGATTTTAATCTCGTCTTTACGACAAAGTTTCTCCGTGTTAAGCTCAATTAACAGCTGTATTTGAGACATTTGATTTGATGAACTCAACATATTTTTATCTCGCTATCCGTGTAAAACGAGTATTTTCGTTTTACAATATGCGCGATTTCCACTTTCTCAACTGAATTTTCATTGAAACCTGAGTTTTGGGAATTACTTGTCGCTTTGATTAAAAAGTAAATTCTTTTTCTTTCATCTCGTCAAATATTTAAATCGTTGTGAATACTAGCTCTCGTATATTATATTTATTATTAGGTTTGCGAATGGATACCGCGCTCCTTATACGGACGTGGCTAACAAATTTGTACATTAATTAGTTTCCTTATTATTGTCATGGTATATATAATATCTTGTTAATAAAAATACTAAAATATTATGTATATAATATGTTATACATATATATATATAATAGATTATTGCATTATGCTTTTTGGTACCGTTACATGCGTTTGGCTTATTTGTCGACTTACATTTGCCACGAATAACCTTTTTTCCGCTATTGTTTCTTTCCTTCTACATACACTGTAGAATATAATTACTAAATTCTAAAGGTTCAAACGTTGGCAAGACGAGACTGTACAAAAAGTCTCTTAGACGCGAATTCTATAATATGTATTTCAATCATCTTAATATTCAGTCATCTTCGCATTGCCTAAACTATTTCTTGTTGCAGTTTTTCTTTTTTTCTTTTTCGAAGTACGATCTGGCCATCAACAGCGCTATGATTTTCTAGTGTGATGTCGAAGCATTTTTTTGTATTATATTTATAACCTTGTGAAATATCGTAACTTTCTTCAAGATTCACGTCGCAAGAGAAAAATATGTATAAAAAGGCGTCCTAACATTTTCTTGAAAATTATAGAGGGCAAAGTTACAAAAAAAACTTTTAAACATAAAGGGGGTATATGTGTATATATATCAGGGACTCGGACCGAAATGAAATTTCGGTCCGTTTACGGTTACGGTCCGATGCTGTACCTGATTTTCGGTTTCGGTTTCGGTTTCGGTCCTTTTATCAAAAACGGTGACCGTAACCGTTTGGATATCGATTTTTTTCGGTCACAAG